GGGTTTATTGTGGGCTAAGCTCTATAAGTTAGGAGTGGGGAGCAAAATGATTAATCTATTGATAAGTTTATATGAGAAAGCGAATGTCGCGGTAAGGAACTCTTCGGGTATTTCGAAACAAATAATGGTCACGAAAGGAGTTTTGCAGGGGGAGGTAATGAGCCCCCTACTTTTCGCGTCTTTCATAGCCGACCTTGAGGATTTTTTTAAGGGAAAAAGGGATCAAAGGCGTCGCTCTGAACCCTTGCATAGAAATTTTACTATTGGCTTACGCAGACGACATTGTGATCCTTGCTAATACCCCTGTAGAAATGAAAAAAATTTGAGAACTCTAGAAAAATATTGCGCAGCTAATAAATTAGAAGTCAATATAAAAAAAACTCAAATAATTGTTTTTAGAAAGGGAGGTCACGGTCACAATCATAAATTTGAACCTTTTATGTACGGAAAGGACCAAAGGGTGGAAATTCTTTCAAAGTATGAGTACTTGGGAGTATTATTTTTAAACTCCGCGACATTCGCTTCTGCCACCGACTCCGCTGTTTCTAAGGCTAAGATAGCTGTTGGCGCATCACTCTCACTGATAAGCAGGTTGAATCCAGATGCCTGGGAACCAATAAATAAAATATTTAATAGCCTTGTTGTAAATCTTTTATCGTATGGAATAACAATTTATGAACTCAGGTATCTGGATGAAATAGAAAAAATACAGACATCTTTTTACAAAAAAGTTTTGAGCTTGCCGAAGAATACACTAGGATATTCGTTAAGATACGAACTGGGCTTAGCAAAATTATCTTCCACTGTATTCAGATTACTGTTAAATTTAATAGAAAAAATATTGTTGATGGGCGATCATAGATTTCCAAAAATGTGTTTTGAACGTATAAAAACTTTGTCTACTAATAAAAACGCCCAAAACAAATTTAATTAGTGCAAGCAAATAGCTCATTTTTTGAATGTATTGGTGAGATGGGTGAATGGAATAATATCAGCTTAAGAACTCTTCAGGCTAAGAAATATATCTGGATAAAAAAATATGAAAATTATTTATTGATTGAAGATATGGATAGAGTGCATGCTTCAGGATCGTTATTACTGCTCCCATACTTAGAATTAAATATAGAAACCAAGAAATATTTTGGACAAAAGATACCTTTAAAATATATTAAATTAGTTTGTCAAATTCGACTTTTGAACATTTTTTACCCAAGACTAGTAATTAACAAAAAATTATACAAATTGAATGCAAAAGGTCTGTGTGAAGGGTGTGGATTGGAAACTACTGATTTATATTACCATACTTTCATTAAATATAACCTTCATTATGAGCTTAGACAAAAACACTTTTGTTATTCCGTCGACGAATCTGTTATACTAAATGTTTTCATGAATGCGTTGGATTCCTCGAATGTGGATACCCTGATGAATATTTATGTGTTCATTAAGCATGTAATGCAAAAAATTGATAATTTTAATAGATTTTAAGAAAGCGACAACCTCTTTGTATTGGCTGTTAGGCCATTTAACAAATAAAATTTATAATAAAGGAGACGTCCTATCTACAAAATTTTCAGGATTTTTAACCCACTTGACCCCTGAAATCCTGATTCACGAGCACTATATACATAGGTTAATCAGTAAACTGATCTCAAAAGTCACAAAAGTAGAAAACTATGTACATAGTGACGTTTTTCGTACATATTTTTCTCGAACTTTGGTTAACTTTCTGCCGGAGAGAGCACTATCTAGAAGTTTTATTATGAAAATAAAATAAAAATAATTTACAAATAAAGCTTTTACTTTTGTATTAACACATATATTTAATGCAAATTAAAAAACAATTTTAATTATTTTTTTTGTAAAGTTAATATTTAATTTAATAAAAATTTAATGCAGAACAAAATAATCAAATCAAATAAAGTTATAATGGTAAATAAAATTTATGTATTGAGGGGCTGATAGTAAAAATGGTTTAAAATAATAACGGGAGCAAAAGTGGAATAAGTGTCTTAGAAGAAAGAACAGATTAAAATGATTGTGTAATTTCTTGATAAATTAATTATAATAATTACAAAATAATAATTCAAATAAAATAAGTTTTTTTATTATTGACAATATTTTTTAAGCATTAATATAATTAATTTATCAAGAAATTACACAATCATTTTAATCTGTTCTTTCTTCTAAGACACTTATTCCACTTTTGCTCCCGTTATTATTTTAAACCATTTTTACTATCAGCCCCTCTATTGTTCGTGATTTTTTGTTCGGTATTTTCAAAATTAAAATATTAAATAATAATAAAAATATAACAGAAATAAAGGATTGTGTTAGAAAATATTGTAGAGAGTGACGCTTTAAACAGGAAAGTGAATCGACAAAGCAATTTTAAAAGTACAATCTACCACATAGTGCACTTTTCATGTATTCTCCATAATTTTCGGATAAAAAATGTGCACTATCTACAGTTTTATTAATAAATAATTAAAATTAATAAATTTTTTGCACCAATGAAAAGAGCGTGTCCGAATTAGTCAAGAACATAAGTTTGTTTACAAAATTTTAAATTTTATTAAGAGATCCAGATGCAAACGCGTTTCCTTCAATATCTCCGATTAAGCTAAAATGTAGATAGTGTCTTTTTCGAAAAGGATGGCAGTATAGTTTGCAAAAACTACTACGAAAAAATGTAAAATGGACTTATAGAAGTAAACATTTGAGCGAAACGGAGAGGAAATATTCGACAACTGAAAAGGAGTGCCTCGCGGTAAAAACGTTCATAGGCAAATTTCGACAATATTTAGAAGGTAGTCATTTTAAAGTAATAACTGATCACATTGCTTTAAAATGGTTACACAACTTGAAAAATCCTACAGGACGCTTGGCGAGACGGGCGTTGGAACTGTCAAAACATGATTTCGAAATAATTTATCGAAAAGGTTTAGCAAATGTAGTTCTAGGCGCGTTGTCGAGAGTTTTCGAAGAAAAGCAAGAAATTTCCGAAGTAATAAAAGTCGAAAGTACCGAAAATCAAACAAAAAATAACTAGTACGAAACAATAATGAGAATAGTAGAATCAAAACCTCACGAACACGAAAATTGTCGAATTCGAGACAAACAATTATATTTTCATAGACCCGATCCGTTAAAATCTCCCCTCCTTAAGGGGATGTCAAAGTCGATGCGATTTTCCCATTGAAGCTCAATGCAAAAATCCAATCGACTTTGACATCCCCTTAAAGATGAAAATCCGTGGAAATTAGTGCAAGCAGGACACCTTGCTTGGTGTGGAGAAAACTTTCCATAGATTTTCCGAAAATTTTTTCTGGCCTGGGATGTACACGGAAATAGTAAAATATATTCGAAAATGTAAAATTTGCCAACAAACAAAAGCAAATAATAAACCGAAAATAGGACCGATGGGTAAAAGAATCGTGGAAGAACCATGTACGATGGTTGCTTCGGATATAATATGCCCATTACCCCTATCGAAAAATCGGAAAAAATATGTCTTAGTATTTCTGGACATTTTCACAAAATGGGTGGAAATAATTCCAATTATAAAAGCGGACGGAAAAACTATCGAAGCAGAATTTCACAATAGAGTAATTTCCATATGGGGAACGCCCAGAATTTTAGTTTCCGACAATGGCACGGAATATGCCAATAAAGTAATACGGGAAGTGTCGGAAAAATTCGGAATAAGACACTCTTTCACACCAAAATACTACCCGCAAGCAAACCCATTATATATAATGGGTTTTCCACGACACTTATCGTGGATTATAATCCACGATGAATTCTGCAATAAAAGAAATCTAAAGGCAAGAGCAGGATACTGTGAGCCATCAAGCAACGGGAGAAAAAATGTACGAGCCAACTGGGACAAACGACGAGAGGAATTTTTGGAGAATAGCCTAGCGGAAAATTCAAGAAAATTAGCGGAAAATAGTAAAAAAGAAAACATTGAATGTATAGTCGTCATTACTGATTACAACGAATTGTCGGAAAATTAATTGAATTTTTATAAGGGGTTACACTTCGTCCCATTTAGGGGAAGGGGGGTGTAACGTAGCGTTACGAATTCTCCCGCGTCTGTTGCGAATCAGGCGATTGAACCCGGAAACGGCCGAAGGGCCTCGAGGGTGTCAATCGCCGGATTCGTAAGCAGACGCGACACTTGCTGTTTGACCATACTATCCCCCGCTTCGCAAAACGTTTCGTGTCACACTATTATAATTATTAGTGCCATAGTGATTAGTAGGATAATCTCTCCACCCTCTCCGAAGCCATCGGTTTCTCCGTTAACTGATCGAATTCAGCCTTGTAAGTTATAATTAATAAATATTATCACTTTAAAACTATCCAAGTCTTCCTTTTATTCCCCTTCTCACCTCCCTTTCGACACTTTTCATAATCGACTTACGGGCATCCGATTATAAATTCGCCATGTGGCATCAAAAACTTGACTTTCTTACGAAAATTTTGAGTATATACATACAACATTTTATCTTCAAAAATAAAGTGTGCAGGGGGGTGGCCGGATTCAGAAAGAATGCCCCATATTTTTCTTTTATTTTAGTGAATAAAATCATTATATAAACCCAGGCGCAACATTTTTTCATTTTTTTGTTGAGCTGTGTTATCCTTAATAGTGAGGTGGTAGCATTTTACTGTGTATCCAGGTCCTGTCATAAAATGCATGTAGTGTAGGGAGGTAATGGGTCAAAATATGTGAAACCGACCACTTGAAAAATTGTCTCCAATTTTCAAGTTATCTATGGTTTTTGGTAGATATATGAGTACACTTTTTCCCCCTACAATATTTTTCAAAACAAAATTTTATTATTGAAGTAATCAGGCGTTGAAGTTTTGGGTCATTTTATTTTCATTTTATTATTACTTTGAAACAAATAAAGATAATAATGCTTTCAGCTAACGTTACGAAATATAAGAAAAAACGTTATTTTCTTATATGATTAAAATTATTACCTTACCTGACAATACGTTCCAGGGGTAACAATAAATATATAGATGGCATAACCTGGTATCATTGCAACTGAAGAAGATGCAATACACCAACCCAAAATATTGGCCCACTCTGGATAAACATAGTCCTCATAAGTTAATGGTTCATAGGCCATCAAACCATAAACAATAATAAACTGTAAGAATGGTTTTAATTATTAGTTTAATAAAACTATTTGTTCAATTTATTGTGTTATTATTTTATTAGTACGAACAATTATAAAAATTGGAGCCACAAATTTCCAGCAAACTCTCCAATATAATCCAGGAGTGAAACCTATCATGTCTTTGATGTCAGCACAGAATTTATCCACACCATAAATCCAACTAACCGCTATTGCTTCTGCCAAAACAGCAAATAGCATTGAATATCCTGCAGCATAGCGATCCAAAAGGTAAAAGAAATAGAAACCGCCCTGAAAAATTTGCAAAACTAAATTAGTTAGTATCTAAAAAACATTATGCATTATGCAAAAGAGTAAGAGTTATAACATAATATACAGTTAACAATCCCAATAAAGTCGGTCAACGTGGAATGGGTCAATGTTTCCAAGTCAATGGTACAGGGTAGAACTGTAGGAACATTGCCTCGAAATATTGAGACAATATTGCCTGACAATCTTGAAAAATATAATATTATAATAAACTATTAATATTTTAACGAAATTTCAGGGCGTGATCAATGATTTCCTTCGGTTCAACGATGGAGTTTTCTGCAATTTTTACATTTTTATTTTACTCTAAAGGTGGAGGTTCTTAATTTTTTATTTCTCGAAATGAGAGTTGTTTTTAATAAATTCGAATTTTTTTTGCTAAATATTTACCATTCTTCTCATAAAAAAATAAATAGAAAAAAAAATAATTAAAGAAAAGTGATAAATTCATAGATAAAGATAAAAAGTATTTGTGCGGAAGGAATTCAATTTAAAAAGTAAATAATTAAGAATAGACCTGAGTTGGTTAATTATTATCCAATTTCATATATATATCGACACATTTATACACTAAAAAAAACTGTTTTTCACATACAAAACAAAAAATTTTGTGGAAATATAATCAAGTCTTTTTTTGAAATAGGAAGTTTTAAAAATTAGTAAACTTGTGATTTATTTCGCTTAGGGTGTCAACTTCAATATTCCGATGTGATAAAGAATTTTAACTTTTACATAAATTTATTCTAAACAATTTTTGTTGTGAATGTCATGTGAATACAGTGAGTGCGGCATCATTGAACCACCCGAAAAAGCAAAGAATTTTCAATTTTGAGAGTTGTAAAGTTGTCTGCTCTACTAATTAGTAAGAAAAATACTGGAAGACATGCTTTTATCACAATTGTGAACGAGATAAACTCAAACTGTCACTTTACCTACCTAACCTGACATCAAAATATATTAATCTCCTGTATTAACAAATAATAACTCTTTAACAACAATATTCTATTTTTTTAAGTGAAAAATAATATTTTTACAATGTGTAAGTGGAAATATTATTTTTGAAGTAAATTGTAGTGTTTTATTAGAGGTGGTTCAATGTAGACACAGATCCTTCAAAATAAGAAAAGTGTGACTTGTTAGAAAAAAATTAAATTTAATTATTTAATCATAATAATTTGTGTTTGTAACGTGTGTATTAACTAAAGGAGTACTTCAGCTTAATTTTGATACAAAAACCTGATCAAAATTAGTAAAACTTAATTAGTTTTTGGATTTTTTAAAATACCCGGTTCAATGTAGCCTACCCTCCCCTACCTGAATAAGGACAAAGCGCGCGGGAATGTTGTACTACACTGTTTATTGTAAACAATTTCAAGTCATTTTAATTTAAGTAATTCTTAAAGAAATACTTATTATGACACATAACTGAAAAACTAATTAGAATTATTAAAATATATATTTTTAAACATTAAAGTATATAAAAAAACTTTAACCAATTTCGATACTAATTTTAAATTTGACATCAGATTTTCAAAATTGAAAATAATTAAACTTTCTTGTACATCATGGTAGCTCATTTCAACGAGCACTGAAAGAAAAAAAATTTTTTGAAAAAAATTTCACATGCAAAAGCAAAATGAATACCGACTTAGCGTGGAATGTCCCATTAGCAAATTTTGTAAGTATTCATAGTGAATATTCCTTAAATATGGGTTTACAATATTCCCTGAATGTATTTCAGGTACGTTAATAAAATATTCCTCATGAATATTCTTTGAACTTACCTAGGGAATATTCTATATTCGCGGACTTTTACCTACTTCTGTACACCTTCCTGGAATATTTTTTGGAAGGTTCCGAATATGCCAAAAGAATATTACAGGAAGGTTCTTTGAATATTTTGTTCTGTCTGGGAAATAATAGTAAAACAGTAAAACTGAAACCCATAGTAAATCATTTTTTCTAATTCATTAATGAATTTACGAATCATAAAGGACAATAGTAGTTATTACAAAGCTGCCGTACTAAGGAAAAACTTACATATGTGCAATCCCTGTCAAACTGAGAAAATAGAGAAAAACGGTTTTAGAAATAAAAATTTAATAATTACCCTCTGAGCAAAAGGATATCTCGCGGAATATTGAGATATCCCAGGGACATCCAAATTTCCATCCCATGGGAGACTCGCGTGGGATATCCTAATATTCTCCACACGTGATATGACACGTGAGAAATAGTAATATTATGTTGAAAAATAATTAGAGCTTTAAAGAGTTGAAAAACCATTATTAAATTATAACCAGAATGAGAAAAAAATTATTTCAAAAATAAAAGATTATTTGACTAATATCAAAGTTATGTTTTTGTGATTTAATGAACATTAGTTGAATTCAATAAAATGTCTTTTTAATGCTAACCATTTATTGTGTGTTGGTTTAAACTAATTTTGGTCAATTTATTTTGTCTATTAATGATAAATATTTATTGGTTAAAGATATTTACAAAAAACTAAAAAAATGTGAAAGTTAAACATATTAAACAGCAACACTTATAATCACACAGTGCAAAACACACGCTTCTGATCTAATGACGCGACGCTATGGTCGCCATGACACTCAACAGCTGGAAAGGTCGACGCATGCGCGTGTAAGATTATAAGAGTACACTCAGATACAATAATGCTGTCCTTCCGGTTTGACGGTATTTTGTAAAGTCGTATGATTTCTGTCAAAATGTTTTCAGTTCATGACATACGAATGAACATTCGTATGTCACGACCTAAGAATTTGATAGAAATGACACGACTTTTCAAAATTCCTTTAAACCGGAAGGACAGCATTAAAGCATCTGAGTGTACATACATATAAAATTTTATTTCTTCTTGTTTAAAGCGAAAAATATACTGGATTTTCAGTAATTAATCTAGTTATTCATGCAGTATTTGTTTAGAATGTAGTTAGAATAAATATTTGAATAATTTAATATATCATCTACCAAAAAAAGTAACTAAAAAATCATAATTTTAAGCTGAATTGATAAATATATATATTTTCTACTTTCGTTAATTTAATGCAACAAATATCTAAACAAACTTTTTTTAATTTAAATGCGTTAAATATAATTTCACAGCTCTTTGACACACACTCTTTGGCACTTGGAACGATTGCATTTCGTTTCCTGCGCATGCGCTGACATATCCCACACGGGATGACCCACGAAAGAAAACTTTGCATATCCCGTGGATATCCCAGGGATATCCAGTGGATGTCCTTGGGATATCCAAATTTCCGTCCCGTGAGATATCTCATGGGATATCACGGGATGGAAATGGGATATTCGCGGGATATCCCGTGCTGTGAGGGTAAATGACACTTCTCTATTGAAAGTGTACACAGAAAAAAACTGAATTCAAAATGAGTAACATATGATACTCATTTTGAAGTGCAACAAAAATGATACCCCTTCAACTCATTCTGAGTTTCTAGGGAAAAAACTCAAAATGAATAAAAGCGGTATCATTTTGGGTTTATGATAAAATTACAATAACATTGGAATAATTCAGAAAAATATGAATTAAAATAATTGTTTATAATGAATAAACACGTTGCACTTGTCAAAACATTAATACTTGAAGTCGATTTATCGCATTTATGAGAAATAAAAAAACAAATTTTTAGGTTAGACACTTGTGAATTGACTGTCAGGGATGGCAACCATGTAACACGAAACATGCGAAACACAAAAAAGTAACGGCGCAACGCGCATTTTCTACAATTGTTGCCAACATAACACACACAAAAAACTAGAACCTGACATTTTTTTTATTTTGAGTCACTTGAAGTTGCCGATTACTTATTTCGAGTCATTTGAAGTTGTCTATTACTCATTTCGAGACCGACTTCCAAATACGTTGCAACAAAAGTGAGTCGGGTTTTTTTCTGTGTATGTGTTGGTTCTAATTTTGCAAAAAATAATTAATTATTTAAATAAATTCTATGCAAAATGTGACTAACGATGTCTACCTTTTGAAAATACGAAGGAAAAACTTACACATCGTCAATTGCGTTGTTTCTTCCCGCACGGGTACTCGAGCTCGGCACAACGATCAGAATTAAAAACTTACACATTTCCTATGTCCCTTGGTGGGGAGCAGTGCATGGTAATCTGTACCTCTCCGAATATACCCGACAAATAAGGGCGAATGTAACCGAAGTGCACTTACGTGGTGCCTTGGCCAAGTTTACGATAGAAGAACTTACACATGTTTCGAGAATGCAGTTACGTGGTTTTCATTTCGTACGCATTAGTGATTGATGAAATACCTAACAGTTTAACATTGCCTTCACTTAAGACGAGAATGGCTAAGCGATCGACTAATTATTTTGCTGTTAAGGATTCCATTGTTTTACTGTCCCAATATACAATAAGTGAAAAAAAAACTAAAGCTATAATTTTGCCTTCTCACTCGAATAGTTTCTGCGCTTTTTAGGGTACAGCCACACGAACTTATGTATGCATGATGCATGCATGCACAAACATTTGACTGTTCACACCTCAATTTTTCGCTTTCAAAAAATCATTTTTCTGGCGGGATATTTAAAATTGATTAAAATTTAAAAATAACGTATTACTAATTATTACAATAAAAAATAAAAAAATGAAAGTTTATTATAGTTTATTATAATTTAAAGTTTATAAATTTATAGTTTATTATAGTTTATTAAGTTTATTAATTAATTGTAAATAAATTTCTCTTAATTTGTGGCATATTTTAATATTGTGAATTTTTATTATTATTTAAAATATGCCACAAATTAAGAGAAATTTATTTACAATTAATTCCTTATAATAAACGTTCATTTTTTTCATTTTTTATTGTAATAATTAGTAATACGTTATTTTTAAATTTTAATCAATTTTAAATATCCCGCCAGAAAAATGATTTTTCGAAAGCGAAAAATTGAGTTGTAAACAGTCAAATG